GTCTACCATAATAACTTGCTATTTGACTTCCTTTAGACAGTGCTTTGCTCTTATACGGAGCACAAAAAAATAAAACACGTGGGAAATTAATTGACCTATACTCACATTTTCTAATTTGTTTTCAGCTACCCTTGTACTGTACTCTTTTAGTATCCTCAATCTTGTATTTATAGGAGAATCTTTACCTAAATCTTTAAGTAATTCGTCATTTATAATCAAAACTTCGCTGCGACTTCCAAACTGCCTGTAAGTTTTTAAAAGTGTAATAATATTTGTTAATTTATTAGAAAATATTTTCTCTTACCTAAAGCGCCCTTATTTCGTTTAAATATATTTTTAAGGGTTTCTCCAATACTTTTATCTTTTGAACCCATTGTGCGGCATGGAAATGGATCAAAAAGGTCTTACATGTAAAAAACTTTTTATAATAATTGCTCTTAAGTAAAAAATAAACTTTTTACTTTTTTTGACAGTAGACCTAAACTTTAAGTGCTTTAACCTAAATTCTCTACTTCTTTTTCTATATGTAAGAGAGATAGAGTGAGTATGAAGTTTGTAGCAAATGGTATTTTGTAAACATCATAGGCGGGAATGTATAGGCGTTTAAAAGGGTTTCTTAAAGTAAAGTAAATTAAATTTTATTTTTAATTCTCAAAGGGAACTATAGTTGACTGTCAACTCTATTTAAATTTGGAACAATTTTAATTATGCCTGTATAATAGATAGCAGGTGCAAACTAAAATCAATATCCATAATATGGATCTTAAAATAACGAACTAAAAAGATGTAGATTGCTATTTAAAATGTAAAAACTCGTAGTAGCTTTTTCAAAGATACGTACACTCTACAATCAACTTCACTGGTCTCTGGCCAATTACGTTACTACGTTTATGTACTGATTAGTGTTAACAACAATAAATTGTTCCTATTAATTTTATTTTGGCGTAATTCGGGAATGTTTTTGTTAGAAAGTAACCTCTTGTATACTTGGTATTTCTTTTTATCCTTTTTCATTTATTGTAGCCTTTACATTGGCTTTATCATCAGCTTTAGATCTTCTTTTGAATCAAAATCTTGCTTTAACAGATACTTTAAACTTTTCCTCGCAGTGCCGTTTATATTCACACGCTGGACTATTTTTCACTATGTCATCTGCATCAGTACAAATACTACAAATATGACCTGTAACAAAAAGGAGTTCTATCATTTAGGATGACTAAACTTGCGTTGTTCTTTTTCCTCGATTGCTTTGTTTGCTTGCTCTTGGCTTATTCTTATCCCATGAAGAACTAGCGAATGTATGGTTACATTCCAGCAGAGCTCCGCATGTCGGGAGAAGGCTGTTAAAACCTTGATACCCAGAGTCCACAGAGTAGAGACTAACCTACTGCTTAGATCCACAACATAGTCTTCACGTTGCGGCATAGTCTTCAATTGTTTTGTACACGTTGTTTCATCACCGGCGTAAGAGGGACTTTAGTAGTAATGTTTCTTCATACATGCAACAGCCTGTCACGGTGTTATCGGACGCTAGAGCTTAGTTTTCCAGCATCCAGATGACTACTTCAGCTGACTTTAGATATCTGGGTCTCCACCCAAGTCACTGCATAGCCAGCGAGGAGTTAAAGTTGATCCTTAATCAACAATCTGATCAATTAATTATTTTTAAATTTTTCTACGTATTTATTAATTATATAATATTGCAGCACTTGGACAATAAGACAATAAAGAAGAAATCTAAAAGCAATTTCTAATATTATCATATTATATCAGTCACATTATTAATTTATTTATTCCTCTTGATCAGTTAAAAAAAAATAAAAAACATTTGATCCCTACGAAGTTAGTAACCACCTCCGTCTATGATATTGTAGTATTTGAATGCGATTGCCGCCGATTACCCGAATTTTAAATTTTAGACGCATATGCGTCTATATTCTTTGATATAAGCAAATATAAGGTTAATAGTTAATAAAATAAATCAGTTTCAAAATTTCTTTCAATTTAACAAAAGTGAGCAACTAAATATTTAAATAGAATAAAATGTATCCAACAAATATACGTTTATTATTGGCTGAAACACACTATAGTGGAAGACAGAAGCTTATGCAAATGCAAAATAATTTATTTAATATAAACAAAGTTAATTGGCGAAACTTTGAACCCTTCACGCTTCAAGCTCACGGTACAATACAAAACGGATTGTGAATATTGTGATTGTAGCGTGTGTATAAGTTGTTTCTATTCGGCCTACTAATGATTACATAAAGTAGTTAATCAGATCAGTAAAAAATTGAAACCAAAATGAATACTGACGATATAATTTACTTATGTCTCATATTTTTTCAAATGGGATTTGGTTTTTATTATCGAACAATTAACAATGTAGATAATAAGAAGTTAATTGGAGCAGCCGTTGGATTTTCAATTGCTGTTATTGTATCCGGTTTTCATGTATTACATGTGTTGATAAGCACACTAATTAATGCATACATTATATTGTTTATTGATAAAAGGTGAGTTTTAAAATTACATCCCTAATTTTAGACACATTTTTGAATATTTAAATTAAGGTATAGTAGAATAAGTTGAATTTCCATATTTTTGAATTAAAATGTAGTGTCATGATTTGATTGTACCTAGTTTGATTTTATCTTGCAGCTCTATTTAAAAAAACGTATTTTTCTGTATTTTCTTTTATTGGTGTAATATTCTTGGATGACAAATAAAGTACTGAACACAGGATAAAGTTGAAAAGAATCTATGCAAGTCTATTCAGTAGAGTCAACTCAATTGTATTCCCAACCTCAGTTTCTGGGAAGATCCTGCAACATAAATGACTACTCTCTCCAGAGTATAACAAGAAACTGATACAGCTTGTGTCTGCCTTCATAAAGATATCAAGAAGTTTCGAATAGAAAGTGGAATTCAACAGGGTGATACTATCTCCCCTAAATTGTTTACAGCTGTTCTTCAATATATGTTCAAGCAAATGGAACGAGAGGATAATATGAGAATTAATATAAATGGGGAAGATCTGAACCACCTAAGATTTGCTGATGACATCATTTTAATATCTGATAGAGTTGATAAAGTTACAAAAATGCTGCACACGCTCCTTAAAGTGTCAAAAACAATTGGTCTTAAAATTAACACCTCAATGACGTCAAAATTTACGACCAAACTTATAGTCAGTGGTAAAATTCTGATTGAGAGCCATAGCAACGACCAAGTAATAGCTTAGAAATATCTAGGGCATGAGATTCGCCTAGGCCGAGATAATCAGACTACTGAAATACAAAAAAGGATAGGTCTCACATTGGCTGCCTTTGGTAGATTGAATAACATTTCCAAGTCTATTATCCCAGTTTATTCAAAAAGAAAGGTTTTTAACCAGTGTGTTTTACCAGTTCTTAATTATGGTGCAGAAACACTTACTCTGACAAAAAGAACAATAGATAAAATAAGAATTACACAGAAGAAGAAGAAGAAGAACAGGAGTCACAGATGCAGTTGAAAAAATAGCCATGGCTAAATGGGCTTGGGCCTAACATGTTGCCAGATTAATGGATGATAGATGGACCAGAAAGATTCTGGAATGGCTTCCAAGGCAAGAGGTATATCGAAGCAGAGGATGACCACTAACCAGATGGATGGATGATATCAAGTGCATCACCACAAACTGGATGCAAGAAGCTCAAGCTAGATAAATAGGTGGAAAATTTTACGGAAGACCTACATTCAGTAGTGGACAAATATAGGCTAAATGATGATGATGATGACTCTCTCCATAAAACAATCAGTATTTTGCAGTTTCATGGGTACCTTTTTTGGTCAACTTAACTATTGTCTGTTCAAACAGTTGACATTTTCAGCACTATTTTCTTATATAAATATTATTTGCAGTTTATCCTATAGAACAATTCTCAAACTATTTTTGTAACATTAGATAATGCCTAAATATCTACAATACACCTGATGTAACTGACATATTATTTCTGAAAATTTACCCATAAAGTTTTGCACAGATCTTTCAGTATTAAATGTAGAAAACGATTATACCAGCAAGTTCTTTTGGATACTTTGATTTTGAAGTATTAGTTACCTTCTGCTAAATAAAAATTTATTAAGTTGTTCACACCTTCAGTCATCCTTAGACTTTCACCTTAACAGTACCAATCAAATCTTCTCATTAGGATTTTCTTAGTATGGTCAAGTATCAAGTAAATTCAAAATTGCTTTTCATCTATTTACAACAAATAATAAATTTGTACAATAGTGTATTTAAATCTAACTACTATCTGTTAAAATTAAAAGTGTTTTTCTGTATGTCTTATATAGTTAGGGGAGACATCCCAAGAAATCTTCAAATCTTCCCCATGTTCCTACAATTCTTGCCAGCAAGGCAGTCACTCTGTGATGCTGGTTCTAGTAATTTCTGGTTTGAAATTCTGCTAAAAATAACCCTAAAGAAATGGAAGGAAGAATTTAAAAAACAGTCATCAGACCTATAACGACATATGTGGCAGAAACATGACCTGACACAGAGGGGACAAAAATGATGTTAAAAACAGTTAAAAAAATTGATGGTAAAAGGGACATAGTTAGAAGTACAGATATAGCAGATGCAAGGTGGAGAACATCAAGCATTGGGTAAGAAATAGAAGAGTAGAATGGAACGATCACATAAGCTGAGTGACAACAAATAGAGTAGTAAAGACGGCAAGAGACAGTTCCCCAATAGGACTTAATGGAGGCATATTGAAAAACAGAGTCATCTCTACATAAAAAGAAGAAATTCTGTTAGGATGGGCGCTTCCTTAGAATAATTAAATTTTCTTCTTTTATCTTTGGCCTACAAAGTTTTAAGTTCTTTCTTATCTTCTAAAAAATTTTCAACCTCAAAGCTAATGTTTTTATTTAATTGTGACAATTTTCACTTGAATGTCTTGATAATTATAGTAATTATAGTTTGGTAAAGTAATAGTTTTTTGTTATAGGAAATGTCATGTATATTCATTTGTCTTTTCCTTTTTGTACCTCATGTTCTTCCGAACAACTGTCTATTTTGGAATTCCATATGCTCCTGGACATACCAATCTGGTTCAAATGATGTTGACTCTAAAATTAGTTGGTTTGGCCTGTGAAGTTAACACTTCCTTCGAAGCTAAAAAGAAAAAGGATGATTCAACCAAAACTGAAGAACAAGAATATGAGGATGAAAGACTACAATTTAAAATCAGTTTTACATATATTATTTGTTATACTTTTAACTACTGTGGAGTTTTAACAGGTTAGTTTTTTTATTCTATTTTTTATTTGTTTCGTGTTTTAGATTTGATATAATATTTACAATAAAAGCTCTATTAACTGGAATCCTGTTTAATGGAACATTACATACAGTGTAGGAAAAAGTTTATGGTCGGTATGGACCTTACGTGAGATGGAGTGAGAAACATCTGTTTAAAAAGAGAGAGGTATATTAGGTCCGCCCTTTATATCGCCGAACATGTTGCCAAACTTATTGGTTTTATTTGACCTGTTGTCTTTTTTGCATTTGAACAATGTTCTAAGATCTAAGATAATCAAATTTGAGCGAAATGGATTTAAATGGCAGCTTACTGTTTTTTATTGGGAATATGCCACAGGTTTACTTTACAATAAGTGTAGTATAACATTTTGATTTCCACTTCGGAAATCGTTTTATATAAATAAAATTTATTAATGTTTCGTATTTTAAGTACGATTTCCGAATTAAAAATCTAAACATGAAAATAAGCTTATTTTACAGTCACATTGTGCCTTATTCCCAATATGAAATAATAAACTGCATACAATAACGCCACATTATCTTCATAGACAATCGTTAACTTTTTATCGTTAAGAGCTTCGGCGCAAAATTTCGGGCCAATGCTTTATAAATGAATTCATTTTTTTCGAATCCTGAGAAAACTAATAAATATTTTTGAAAAATTTAAACGCAGAATGAAAGAATACATTATTACCGAGGGCCGAATGTCTCTGAAAACTTCTATAATGTTTATTTTAATAAGTTACAGGGGTGAAAAAAAAAAGAGAAAATTTAGTGTGATTTTTAATTTTAAATATCTCATTCAAAAAACTTTTTGTTTATTCTAAGGGACTTTAATCTTTAAAATAAGATTTATGGAAGGGAGACCAAGGGGAAATATGATTGTTATCTTTGTCTATTCGCTGAAAATATGATTTTATATCTGTGTTAGATATCCTGTTAAATTTTACCATATCGACCATAATTTTTTACCTACACTGTATGCATATAACAAGCAACTCTTTGTGACGACAATAAAGCCAATTGTACTTAGTAGACTTCGGCAAATATGCAAATAAAAATGTAGAAAATATGCGCATAAATATGCACGTGTTTACCCGAAAATATGCAAATATTTTACAAAATATGCATACAAATAAATAAAAAAATCGTAAAATAGTAACAATTTTATTTAAAAAAAAAGTGTACATAACTAAATATTTCCTACTATTCATTAAGATTTACATTTATTTTAAGTAACTACATCATTTTTAAGTATGAATAAACTTATTTAGAATTATGGTAACAATAAATGACCAAGTGGTGTTCAAAATTTTCTAACAAAAACTTGTGGCTTCTGTCTGAGTACATATATTTATATATGGAAAAACTTCGTTCAACATCAACTGATGTAACGGGAGCATTTTTCAAACTAACCAAAACATTTGGTTCTAAATTAATTGTTTCCGAAATATTTCCAGCTAGAACACTGACTAATTCAGAAAGAATATGGTAACCTTTATTTTTTTCCATAGTAGCTTCAATTTTTTTTAAAATATCTTTTCCAATATTACCTCTAATGTTCCGACAACATGACGCAAATTCTTTTATTAATGCTGTACTTTCGAACAATGACAGTTTTGGTGATTCTAACTGAGTAATTGTTTTTTGAACAAAACTAAAATTTGATTTTATAAATGAAAGTTCTTGTTGAAGCAAGTTACTCTGAAAAGTTTGTTTAGAATCCAAAAGAGATTGGGAACTTTCATCTGTTAACGTATCAATTATGTTCTTTATTTTAACAAAATGATCTGCATAAAAATTAGCTGCTTCTAACCATGTTCCCCATCGCGTTAAAATAGGTTGTGGTGGAAGAGGAATGTTAGGTAGCATTTCTTTATAAAGTTGAATTCTTATAGGAGATTTAAGAAATACTTTTTTGACACTGGATGGTATTCACAAGAGGTATTCATGGTATTTACAAGAGGAAACTTTTTTCGTATTTCCTCTGCAACTCTGTTTAATCCATGCGCTACACAAGTAACATGTATTAAATCTGGGAAAAATATTTTTAAATTTTGTCCTGCTTTCACCATATAAGGAGCAGCATCCGATAAAATAAGCAGTAATTTATTAGAAGGAATAGTTGTCGGAAGAAAAAAAGTTGCTAATATTTCTTGTATAAAACGCGAAATTGTTAAAGCATCTGTTTTCTCAAGTTGCTGGCATGAAATAAGATGAGATTTTGGTAAGGTATCTTCTTTAAGAACACCAATCAATAAATGAGCAATATACTTTCCTGAGGAATCAGTGGTTTCGTCTAGAGATATGTAAAAATAATTATCTGCAATTTCTTCCTTAATATTAATTAACACCGACGAGTATAGCCCGTTCACATTATTTCTTCTTAGAGACCGATCACTTGGAACATTAAGTTTGCAATATTTTTTTAGAAACGAACTAAAATTTACATTTGCTAATTTTGAAAGCGGTATGTTTGCAGACACTAATGCGCGACACAAGTCTTCATTAAAAGTTTCTTGCTCATCTAATTTTTTTGAAGTAGATTGGAAACATTTAGTCATTGAAGTTTGATGTTTTCCTCCTGTTTCCTTTTTTTTACAATGTGTGAAGCAGTTCTCACATGTTGGTCTATCTGAAATTTCTGCCCACATGCTATCTATAAATAAAAATAAAAACCTTTATTTTAACCCAACCTTTAAAATATAAAAATATACAAGGTGTTTTTGGTTAATCAAATAACTGGTTTGGAAAAAAAAAACACTCGCTAAGTGTTTTAAATGCAGTATTAATCCACAAATTAGTTTTTGTTACTAACCATTAGTACATCATATAACTTATTTTAAAATTCAACAAAAGTTTTTTTTGTTAATTCAATCACAATAAAAATAATTGTGTTTTAGAATAGCTGACTTCATAAAAAAAAGTAAAGGTGAAAAATTTTTCTAAATACACACCATTGTATTGTACCATGGACAATTTTTTCTCACTAAAGGAAGCTATTTTTCATTTAAAAACAACCTACGAGTACTAAATTTCAAGTAAATACGTTTATTGGTTTTAAAGTTATTGTTGATATTAACTAAAAGAATTAATTTTTTTTAATTTTAACACCCTGTATCTCGAAAAGTAAATAAGTTTGACCCCTCATTAACCTGTATGTATGAAATATTAGATATTTAATAGAAAATATTAGATACTTACAATTTTGCCACAGACTGAACAGTAGATTTTTCCCATATCCATAGACAGCTCTTTATAAGGTTTAATCCAAGTTGAAGCACTGGTTGTTTTAGGCATTATAAAATCACAATCTTCCTTTTTGTTACGCACAACGAGTGTTTACGCTTTGAATATCAAAACAAAAATGATTTACAAATCTGAGCATCAAATTAGAAATGTTTAGGTACCTAATTCAATAAACTGGGAGATTTTGGAAAATCCCTAAATTAGGAACAAAACTATTAGCCGTTTACCTGCTGTTAAGATACAATAAATTGTAGATAGATTTGGGGATTAGATCATAAAATGCAAATGAGCGAACCCTTAGCGATTATCCAATAACTGAATGCCTCAGTGACCGAGACTTTCTAAAATGTTGAGGGCTACTTAAATTGATCTTCTTTGAAATTGTAAATGTTTTGTACCTGTAGAGATTACGTACTTAGATCATTTCTTGATTAAAATGACTACAAAATTTTATACCAGAATTGAAATAAATTGGTATGTTAAAAATTTTCAAATACAGTATAAAAATCTGAACTTTTATGCACTTTATGCAAACTTTTATACAAATATGCCAAAATATGAAATATTTGCATAAAATATGCACAATATGCAAAATATGCAATATGCATATTTGCCGAAGTCTAGTACTTAGTAATACAATGTTCACTCAACACATACGCTACACAAAATTATTTCACAAATAACCTTTGATTATAATTTGGTCGCTAAACATAATTATAAAACTTTGACTCTTATTGCTATTAGGAAATTATTACAAGGTATGACTGTGGTGAAACTGCAACTTCCGTACTTAAAACTTGATATTGGTCGAACTACCGTTTACAATATCGTAAAAAATAGAGGTAACAAAGAAAAATTTATAAAAAGTTATAGATGACTCTAAAAGAAAAATCCTTCGTTCCAGTGAATACCATCAAGTTGGGGAATCTCTGTACATTTGGTTTAAACAACAAAGATGCTGATAATATGTCGCTATTTCGGGAGATATTTTAAAACAAACAGCTTTTATTTTTTTATTGTGAAATGACCAACAAAGATGATTTTTGTATCAGCATGGCATTCGTTTCTTATAGATTAGAGGAGAAAAACTATCAGCTTAACGAGACTGAAGTTTCTCAATTTATTTAACATTCAAACAATAAAATCTATAACCTGGGCCTTATACCCGAACAACTGTATAATGCTGATAAAACAGGCTTAAACTGGTGGCAACTCACAACAAACACCTACGTAATGGAGGAAGTAAGAGTTAAGATCTAATTACTATTTTAATGGGAATATGCCGCAATTGAAGGTTAAAATAAATGTATTGACGTTTGAATCTTTGATCTTGCACTGATAACTTATTATTTATACTCCAACAATTAATAGAAAAAAGAATAGCGATTGGTACTGAAGTACATCTAGCCTTCATCGATCTAGAAAAGGCGTATGATACAGTTCCAAGACTTAAATTGTGGCAAGCTTTACAACAACTCGACATTAGTCCATACCTTTTAGACTATAGACTAGATATAGAAAAATCGGAAATAGACTATCAGAGCCAATAAAAGTAACTAAAGGACTAAAATAACTTATCTCATCTCTTTGCATATTTCAATACTAATCTTCGCGTTTAATCACTTTACTAGAAAACCTGGAATTCATATCCGAAGGTACTATTCGTTGCAAGATAATTAGGATGGAATTCCCCAGATTTTTAATAATATAATGGGTATAAAGATACCGGCTTT